AGTGGCCAGTTCATTTTCGTAGTCAAGGATTAAACAGGTCTGTAATACTATCTGATCCTTGACTGGCTCTGAATCCAACGTAAGCAGAGAATTTCAAGCGGGTTGGATTAAGTAGCCTTTGACACAGAAGGAGGATACAAATTTGGCTCAGAGCTTCCTTGCGGCTAAAGTGTAACACACTACCAAACCATGATTCATATTGTCCATACAGAGAAGCAAAACAAGTTGTTCAGGAGAAACACAAGTATTTTTGTTACTGAGACTTCAGAAAAATGTCTCTCATAGGACACCCTTAGTTACAATAGGAATTTCATGATGCTTTTTCATTTAGCTACCCATCAATAAAAGCAGTCAAGAAAGAAGCCACAACAATGGAATGAAAATAAGCAGTATTCCCAAGATTAAATTTGTTTTAATCTGAGGACGGGGATTAGAAGGTAATGGTTCCTAGTTCAGCAAATGGAGGAATCAGTGAAATCTTTCGATAAAATGTAGATTCATCGTGCCCACTCCCAGAGATTCTGATTCCCTAGCTCTACAGCAGGGGTGCAGAATCTGTATTCTACATAAACATTTTAGATAATTCTTATAAATGATAACGAGAACAGTAATCTTTAATAAGAGATGCTCATCATAATCACTGGGAACCTCTTTGAAATTATACATCTCCCTCCCTTAGAACTAATAAATCATCTTTTCTAGAAGGAGGACAAAAGACTCTAAATCTTGGGGCAACTGGCTGGCTTAGTTGGTACAGCATGGGACTCTTGATTTTGGGGTTGTGAGTTCGAGCCCCACATGGGGCAGAGATTACTTAAAAAAAAAAAAAAAGGTTCTAAATCTTGTCCAGGTGGTTCTAATACATAGTCTAGTGCATAGTCAGATTTAGAAGAATGAAAACATACCCTTCAGGCCAACCCCTAGCTTGCTGATATACTAGGTTGCTAGTTAATGCATTTACTTTGGTTGCTAAGTAAATGCGTTAATGGGCTTTTAAGTTTCTGAGTTGGTAACAACCTCCTAAGAAAGTTGAGGGACAGAAAGAAAGCCATGCCTTTTACTTTTCTTCCTCCTTAGCAATGAGCAAAGGTATAACCCACAGGTAGGCTCAAATATACCTTTGAAAACAATTCTATCTTCCAGTAAACAAGTGATCCCCTGTTTCCAAAGTTCTATACTACAGAATGTGGCAGAAATAAAACAGGGACACATTTAAGTCCAAATGCCCACTTTGGCCATAAAAAACCCTCACAATAAGTAAGGCAAGAATATTAACTTCAAATGCTAACTTTCTAGTGGCTGTGCCACAATTAACTAGCTATAAAATGAACTTTTTTTTTTTTTAAAGATTTTATTTATTTATTTGACAGAGAGAGATCACAAGTAGACAGAGAGGCAGGCAGAGAGAGGGAGGGAAGCAGGCTCCCTGCTGAGCAGAGAGCCCGATGTGGGACTCGATCCCAGGACCCTGAGATCATGACCTGAGCCGAAGACAGCGGCTTAACCCACTGAGCCACCCAGGTGCCCCTAAAATGAACTTCTATATAAGTTAGTAAGTTGACATACCATATGGCTGTCTGGTATGAGTCAGTTAAAAACTGGGAGGTATCTGCCCATTAAGAAAGATGATATGAAGTTTAAAAGTTGATCATAAACTTTGTCAAGTGATGATGATAGGGCCAACTGTTTAGAACCTCTCCTGACTGATAGTGTAATTATAACACTGTCATAAAAAATGCTTATCTTTCTATATTCTCTTATGTGTATTTACCATGTATGTTTTGGGGAGCAGAAGTGAATGAAAAAGCTTTGCTTTAGTCTCATTAGAAATTATTACAGGACCAGTTAAGAGTCCATTCCAATTCACCCTGACTATGCTACTCAACTATGTTTTGATTGAAAATTTACCTGTTTTGAACAAAAGGATTTTTAGAAAAATTCATTTGCAGTAGTCCTCCTCATCCCCCTCAAAGAGGGAGACTAGGTGGCAAGAATTTTCAAGATTCTCAAAGAGGAATTTATTGCCCAAGAGGCTTTCTTGTGTTTTAGAACCTCTCAATTTTCACTTGCTCCTTAGTAATCACAATATCCTAAAATATGTAAACATTAAAAAAGCATCATTGTATTAAAAAGTTGTTGTTAACTGGGGCACCAGGGCGGCTCAGTCGGTTAAGCATCCGACTCTTGATCTCAGCTCAGGTCTTGATCTCAGAGTTGTGAGCTTGAACCCCACTTTGGGCTCCATGCTGGGTGTGGAGCCTGCTTAAAAAATGGGGAGAAAAAAAGAAAAAAAAAGAGAAATTATTGTTAAACAGATGTGATAATGGTATGTTTGTGTGAAAAAAGTACTCATTTATTAGAGATACAGACTTAGTTGTTTACAAGTGAAATAACTTTTGTGATTTCCTTTGAAATACTGTATACACACAAACAAAGTGTAGTGGAGATAGGAGACGTAAGATGGGCCTTGAGTTGTTAACAAAGCTGAATGATGGTTGTTACATTACACCACTCACTATGTTTATGTTATATGGGAAAACGTTCCATAGTAAACAGTAAAACGAAGAAAATGCATTATCTTATAAAATAGACATAATTTGTTTGATTCCTTTGAGAGTTAAGATGCGGAGTTAAAGACGTGATATAACTAAGTAAAATGTTTTTGCAAGTTTATGAGGCATAAGGGTAGATAAGGATCACAAAAAGTATCACAACTGAGGAAAAGCCGGTTAAAAGTGAACATTCACATAACTGAAATCTCTGGGAAATGCTAACATATATATTTCGCAGTGACAACACCCAAGTGCAGTTGTAAACCTAAGACTCCAAATCAAACCCAGTTCAACTTCTATCTCGCCACTACCTCTTCCAGTCCAAGGGAGGTGCGGGTGTCTGGGGGACGGAATTTCATCAACACACTCTGCAGTTAAAGGCAACGGCCAGGAGAAAACGGAACAGTAGCTGAGCAAACGCTCCAGAGGCAAACGCCTGGGATCCTCGCTTTGTCACCTGGAGGCTGGGTCCCTTCCAAGCCTCGATTTCTCAAGTGGGGAGGACAATAGTACCTACCTTAGAGGGTTGTTGGGAGCTTTAATTATGAAGCATGCATGTAAGGAACATGCAGCTCGTAACTGGTAGGACCTGTTGGTGTATTAAGGACGGCGCGTTTGGGAAGCGGCTCGGGCGAGCTACGCGCGCCGGCGGCCAGGAACGAAGACTCCGCTCGGTCTCCACCCGCCCGTCTCCGAGCCTGGGCGCAGGCCCAAAGGATGCTCGGGCTTCTTCCAGGCGCCCGTCTCCAGCTCCAGGTCGCTCTCCGATCGGTCTGGGGTCCAGCCACTAGGCGCCGGAACCAGTCAGGGCGGCGGCTCTTCAGGTCCGGTCCCCGAGCAGGAACCCACCCGGCGCAGGGAAACAGAAGAGTCCGCACCGACCTCCACCCTGGCCGCGCCGGGGTTCCATCCGGGTTCTCCGTGTGGCTTCCCGCCCGCAGACGGTGCGAGGTGTCTCCCCGCACGCAGGCGCATTAGCCACCGGCTGAGGACTCAGCAGGCTTGAGTAAAGAGCATGCGCGTTGTTTCTCTCCATTTTTTTTTTTTTTTTTTTAAATTGTGTACGTAGCAAGGAGGGTTTTTTGTGTCTGCCAGAAAGAATGAATCGTAGAATCGAAGGAATGAAAGGTATGGCAAAGTCTACGTAGCTCTTCAGAACACTGAAATAAATTTTTAACACTCCAGTAATTAGCATTTTCTATGTGTGATTAAGGAGTTAAGAGAAGCAAGCTCATTGAACTCCCAAATTAAACACTGAAGCAAATGCGGCAGGCCGTAAACTCCATGAAGATACTCAGAGTGAAGAGCGTCTAGAGCTTGTGTCTTCTTGTCCACGCGTCACCTCTTTCCATAAATTAGAGCGTGAGGATGAATTTCCTCAGAATCATCACTTTAGAGAAAAGAGCTTCAATTTTAAAATTCATTTTAACATGATCTTAAAATTATAAATACGTATTAGAGAGATTTTATTTTTAAAAGATTTTATTTTTTTGACAGATCACAAGTAGGCAGAGAGGGCAGGGGGGTGAAGTAAGCTCCCTGCTGAGCAGAGAGCCCCATGCAGGACTCGATCCCAGGACCCTGGGACGATGACCTGAGCCGAAGGCAGCAGCTTAACCCACTGAGCCTCCCAGGCACTGTTAGAGAGATTTTATAGGAAAAATCCCAAAGCAGAAACTAGAAAACGTTGCTGAAAGAAATTCAAGCATAAACCTCCTGCTAGTTGGGGGTGGCGGTGGAGGGGGTACTTCCTTCCAGAATTGTTACAAACTTAATGAAAGAACGATTTATTCATTTTTGTATAGTCAGTATTGTAGAAACATGCCACAAGGTTGGGGAAAGGGGCACTATCAAAGAATGTGGGACAGATGCATCATTATCAGGTGTTGAGGGTGAACCTGGCCAACTGAGGCCTGCAAAAGACCAGTCTTCCTGGTCCAGAAAGCAGGGTCTTAAATACTAGAGACAGGAGTAGGATTTACGAGTCAGAGATACTTGGCTTTATGTCCTGGCCCTAACACTTTTAACTGTCAGGACTTGAGCAAGCTACCTGGAATTGTTAAGCCCATGTGCTTTTTGTAAGATAGATAGGGGCATTATCCATTACACCATGAAGTTCTTTTTGCAGAGGTAACATACAAAAAATTACAGTACAGTTTCAGCACTCAAAAGGCAGCTATTATTAATAAACACAAAGTTCTCATAATGAATAATGTTCCAGGTATTATCTTTGTTTTCCAAAATGGAGAAATAAGACACGAGTTCAGATATTATAGAAGTCTTCCTAAAATCAGTAAATTAGATTTCACTGAAGAGGGAACAGAGAGCCAGAAAAGTCGACACATTTTTTGAGTTAAAGGATCCTGAAATTTTCTAATTCAAAATCCCTTGCCATAAACTACTTTTCTGCCAAATATTTGAAATAATACTATAAACCACTCAGTTAAGTATTCTCAATTATATATCTTTATTAACAAAAGATAAATAAAATACAAAATAGACATTGTCAGACTTTATGTTGAATCACTCCATATTATGGTAGGAGTATGAAAACGTAAGTCACTGACTTTCTTGAAATAGGGAAGAATGAGCTCTCTTTGCATTGCTGTTTGAACTTCGTACTAGTACTAGTCTGAATCTAGCTACGGTATCCATAGTACTTGACAATTTGATTGTTACTCTCACCAGCACAATTTCTTAGATGGTAACTTAATGTGGTGTCCTAGTGGGTTTTGGTAGCTTAGAAGCCAGTGAGCTGTTAAAAGCCAATTACTTATGTCAGGGTTTGAAACAGGCTGTTTTCATGATCCCACTCTCACTGTATTATCTTCACAATGTTCTTAGAAGAGGCCTGAGGATCATGGTAGTCTCAGTTATTAATAGCCCTATAAGCTATCCTTGTAATTCTCTTAAAAAACCTTCAATTTCAGGTTTTGTTTTCTGTAATTTTTATACAATTACAAGCAATTTTTGCTTTCTGTAAAGATTAGGTACAATGGATACTCTACAATCTTCTAAAATTTAATATTCATGATCATTACATAAAGGCAATCACAATTAAAACAACAAATAGTACCACAAACCATACTCTATGATAGAGGAAAGGGTTTCTGTGTCTAAAGGCTCATGTCCAGAATGGTAAAAGACCTAGTACTGATCAGTGACTCGAAGATAACAAAAGAGTTATTTTTCCATTCAAAGACTAATCCATTTAGTTCTGGGTATAAAGTATAAGGAAATACTTTAAAAATCAAAATTTTATAACCAAATAGAAAACAGAATTATTACTATACAGACTGAAATGGGGGATAAAGTAATACATATATTCTAAAGGTTTCCTTTCAGTAACCCAACTTATTTTTAGCTTTAGACCAGGAAAACCTTAGAAGGCAAAAACAAACGATACTCAAATAACTACAACCATAGTTACTAGTAATTTGAAAAAACAAAACCGTGATTTTGAGAAAGAGTAACTCATCTGCCTTTAAAATGTGTACTAGCACTAGATAAAGGGCCATAAGAATTGAGGAAATAAAGTTAGAGACTTAATAAATGTTGAGTAGAAGATGTTCTTGTTAGGTAGAGAGCCAAGGCCTCTTTGCACATCACCTAATATAAAACTGGAAGTAAAATCAAAATATACACTTAATGTACTTCCTCTTTGTTTTTGTTTCTTCAGTGTGTAAAGAAATGAATTTGCTATGAGACTTCCGGAGTCTTTATTAAAGTCAGGCAGCAAGAGTAGTAGTCATGGGTTTTTCCATCTACAATCATCAGCAAGAAGCTGAAAAGAATGTATCAGCTGTGTCTATCTTGGGTGACTGTCTATAACTAGTTACTACTGTCCAAGGAAGGAAGCCATGGGGTCATCTGGCCTCTGACGTTTCATTCTATAGGCTTCCATTTCCTCTTCAGTGGGTTCCCGAGTTTCATATATGCTGTTGTAAGGCCGCTTCCTCTCATCAATTTGCATGATCTCCTTGACATGAAGAAGGCGGGCCTCCTCTGCATTCAGTGCCTATAGTGAGAGGAAAAACATGAGAACCACAGCTCTACATCAGATGTCTTCTGTTCTAAAGTAGCAGAATACCAAAAGACCCGACTGAATATAAATTGTCATATCAAAAACCTAGATTTTCCAAAAGAGCTTAAAGTGTCAGCCCTCCTACTGTCAAGCTGTAACTAATCACTACTTGGCTGATACAGTATTTTCATATAGCACAAAACATTCTACCACATTTTCAATGTTAAAAAAAAATTTACTTAATAACAAAGATTCAATGATATTGATTTCACTAACAGAAGTCCACAACTGCTGCTTCTGGTGGAAACTACCATTCTGACTTTTCCCAAGGACTTGTTGAAACTTACAAATTATAGACCTAAAAGGCAGTTCTTTCTGGGCAGTCAATACCTCTAAAATAACAGCTTTAAAAGCACATTTCTTCAGTATGTTAGTAATTTTTATCAAACATTCAAGAAACAGGGAATACTGAGATCCACAAAAATCTCCTTTTGCACCCTAGACCTGATACAAGGTAACCTAAACAAATCACCCAGACTTGGGCTTATTTCCTCATTTCTTAAGGTTGCCACAAGTAAAGATTACTGTCATCACTTTGACTATTTAGAGTTCACAGAGACCTTTTTCAATTTTTCATGTTTCTTTTCTTCATCATCACTATCTGAACTGCTCTTTCGATGCTTCTTTTTCTTCTTCTTTTTCTTCTTTTTATCTTCTTTTAGTTTTTCCTGATGCATCTGACAGGGACGGTTAAAATATATAGTGTTATTAATGCAAAAACAAAGCTCCGGCACAAATTTTAAAGTCAGCCTTCCAGGACTTAATTCAGGACAAATGATTAGACTTACCTCCATGAGGGTTTGAGGTTTTTTCACAGGTTCTTCTCCAGTTATATCGTTTATAATACATTCCTCTGAATTCTGTGGGAAAATATATTTGACTTATCATAGTTACTAATCACTGAAAAAAAAGTTAACATTTGAAACATGAGAAAACATACTTAATACAGATTCTGACTTAAGAGCTTTGGTTGTGTTACAGTTTAAGAACTAGAGGACAATTACTTACAGCAATCTCCTTGCCAGCTTCTCCAGTGCAATAGGAATACTTGAAAAAAGAGTGACAGCATTTGTATCCCCATCGGCCTTCTTTCCAGTAAGATCCCCAGATATGCTGCAGAGAGAGAGTTGTTACTTAAAAAGGAAACTGAAACTAGGGATTCTCATATACTGTTGATATGAGTACCAAATAATACAGCCCTTTAAAAGGTAATTTGGGAGGAAAACTATGGGGATTCCACGGCAAGCTAATAGGGAAACGGTGGCCTGACCTCAGGTGTAAGAAGCAGCCATTAAATTAAAATGGTCTCGCTTTCCATTCCCAAAACTATAAAAAAAAATTTAGGATTATCTGATTTCTCTTCAAAAATTAAGAACTGGGAAATTCTGGGCCCACATTCCCACTTGGCAAGAACTGGCTGTTGGTGACCAGTGGATGTCCCTTTTATTTTTTTAAAAAGATTTTTACTTATTTGACAGAGAGACAGCGAGAGGGAACATAAGCAGAGGGAATGGGAGAGGAAGAAGCAGGCCAGCAGGGAGCCTGATGTGGGACTTGATCCCAGAACCCTGGGATCATGACCTGAGCTGAAGGCAGACGTTTAATGACTGAGCCACCCAGGTGCCCTGGATACCCCTTTTAGACAGGATTTGTGTTCTGTGTGTGTGTGCCTGGCTCATTTTGCTCATATACATTTAGTGGCCTGGCTCCTATAGCTAGTTCAGTTTTTGACCTGACTTTGACAATTGTAGTTTGAGTACTTCAAGAGTATAGCAAATAACATATGTTTTATGATGTGAGACAGTAGAATTCATCATAAAAAGTATGAATTAGGGACGCCTGGGTGGCTCAGTTGGTTAAGCAGCTGCCTTCGGCTCAGGTCATGATCCCAGCGTCCTGGGATCGAGTCCCACATTGGGCTCCTTGCTCATCAGGGAGCCTGCTTCACCTCTGCCTCTGCCTGCCATTCTGTCTGCCTGTGCTTGCTCTCTCTCCCTCTCTCTCTCTGACAAATAAATAAATAAAATCTTTAAAAAAAAAAAGTATGAATTATGAATTTTCTGTGTCACAAATGTTGTCATAATTTTGAACTTATAACTATCAAGCCTTTAGCTCTGAATTCCTGTTTATAGGAAATGCAGAAGATAGAGGAATAAATCCTATATCACTAGGAATCAGTCAAATACACAATATGAACACAGTTTAAAAAATAATTGGCCTCATCTGTTTAAGAGTTGCCATCATGAAAAAAGGGAGATATGACAGAAGAAGATAAAGAAAAAGAGATACAACAACCAAAATGAACTCTGATTGGATTCTGACGCAAGACAAAAACAAGCCACCTCTTTAAAGACATTTTTGTGTATATTTTAGTAATGTGATTAAGAACCAGAGATTAGATGATATGAAGGAGTTGTGTCAATTTTTAAAGTGTGATAGTTATGGAGGGGAATATCCCTGATTTTAGAAGACGCATGATACAGTTTCTATGGGTGAAATGTCATAGTATCTGTGATTTTCAAATGTTTTAGTTAAAAAAATATAAATTTTATATATATATTATATTCACATGCATATACACACACGCGTGCATGTACACGTCCCAAAGCATATATACCAACATGCAAAAATTTTCTGAATCTAAGTAGTAGCTATGTGGACGAACATAATAGTATTCTTCCACATTTTTTGTATTTTTGGAAAAATTTCATAAAACAAAATTAAAATGTTGGGACGCCTGGGTGGCTCAGTGGGTTAAGCCGCTGCCTTCGGCTCAGGTCATGATCCCGGGGTCCTGGGATCGAGTCCCGCATCGGGCTCCTTGCTCGGCGGAGAGCCTGCCTCTCTCTCCGCCTCTCTCTCTACCTCTGCCTGCCTCTCTGCCTGCTTGTGTGCTTTCTCTCTCTCTTTCTAACAAATAAATAAAATCTTAAAAAAAAAAAAAATTAAAATGTAAAAAAAAAAGAAAAGCACAACAATGATTTGCTACTGTTGTAGTAAGAAAATATGACCCAGAGCAAAATGCTAACAAGGACACCAAATAGTTCTGGTTTAGCACATACTGTGTGATTGTGGATCTTCACATCCTCCTCATACTTAGAGCAGGCGACAGCCCTCTCCTGTCCTTTGATGACTGTTCCATGTCTTGAATACTCCACATAGTCTTCAGTCTGAGCTAAAAGCAATTCAGCTGGAGGGGCATCCAAGTGTTCCTGGCCACCATACTAAAAGAACAGCGAACATTATTAAATACATTTTACAGCAAAGATTCACATTCTAATCTCTATTGATGGGGTTTATTTCCAATCAGAAACATTAAAGGAATAATCATTATGGCCTTTGTTATGCAAAATACAGTAAAAAAAAAAAAAAAGCCACAAAAATCTTAGAGGGAAATAAAAGATGTCTCCAGCTGCTATTCATCTTTTGAGTGTGTAGATTACAAAATGGCCATTAATTCCTTTTATTCTCGTATGCATGCCCATTTGCCACATGACTTTGCTACTCTTCCCCTCAAGAGACAGCTTCTCCAACCTCTGAATCTGGGCCTGGCCATGTTACTTGTTCAGGCCTGTGGGAAACTGGCAAATGCGATGCAAGCAAAGCCCTGAAGAGCACTCATGCACTGGGGCATCATGCTTTTTGTTACTAGTCTCTGGTACCGAGAATGCCTGCTGAAGCTGGACTGGCCTACTACAGGGTAAGAGCTCACATGGGGCAGAGATGAGCTGTTACAGAGGTGGGCTCTTAGGATAATTAGCCTGCTAACTGCTAGAGACCGGAATGAGACCATTCTAGATCATCCAGCTTCAGATGAGCAGGCCCAGACCAGGAGACCCAGCTGACATACAAAATTGTGAGAAATAACAAATGTTTAAACTACTAAGTTTTTCCATAGTTTGTTTTGCTGCAAAAGCTTCCTGATATGGATATACCGATAATGTATACAGTTGATCAAGTTAATAGGAGGGTAGAACTAGTTCTAACGAACTAAAAGAGCCTCTCTGTGTGTTGTATTCCACATGTAAATCAAATGGTGAACTGGTCATTTCTCGTTAATGAACATTCTTTTCTTTGCATTCTGATCAAAATTACCTTTTCCAAGATGCTTTCTTTCTGCTGTTCTTTGAAGTCTTCTTTTTTGACTTTGAAGGACTTGTACAGCAGCTCTAGTTTTGTAGGATCAGCCTGTAGATGCACTTCAGATCCCTTGTCATAGGCTTCCCAAGCAAACACTACAATAATCAAAAGCATCTTAATGAGTTCTCAGCTATATTTATTGCATACTTATTGAAAACAAGCTTCTAAAAATGCCACCAAATTTCTTTAGAGCGGATATAAAATACCTTGACATAGAGTAAACACTTACACTGTGTCTGAGCCATTGAAATGGTGTCTCCTGTGTATCTTACAAAGTTATCCCCTGCATAGCTCACTCTGTAAACACAAGTTAAAAAACAAATTGCTTCAGAAATTGCTTTCTTTAAGGAAAGTTCATTCTTTTCTGACCCAGCCACATATGTTGTTCATTTTAACTCAGATTCAGTTTTACAATTAAAAATGCTCCTCCCCCACCATGAAATCTATACATTTAACTTGATACTTACTCATCTGGATTCTTCCCTGCGTTGGCATAGGGATTCTCTCTCATCGCTCTAGTTTTGGGATCATAGTAAGCAGAATTTGGATCTAAATTCCGCAAATACTAGAAGGGAAAATGTTTTAAGACTGCATTAATGTTTACGTCTGTCAAAAAAAGATTTCAGCAGACTAGGCGGAGGTATTAATCATGATCAATTACATGTGTGTATGCATTGGTGGGGTACAGATGAAGAGGAAAAAACAGAATGATACTTAATCTTGGAATGATAGACTATATCAACCCATACAGTGCTCAGATACCAGATGAGTAGACAAAATCTGGGGTGGGAAGACACTTTTTTGGTGTATATGTTGAGTTGGCAAAGCTTACTTTTGCAATATCTTCTCGAATCCTGAGATTCCGGACAGTAATTCGCCTCTTAGAGTCAAAGTTCTGCCCAGGCATGTCAATATCGTCTGCATATTTATCTTCATCCTCATCTTCACTATTATGATCTTTTTCCTGAAGGAAGGGGAAAGAAGGAAAAACAAATTATAAGAAAAAAACAGCAACATCTAGTTCCTGTTTTCCCTTTAACCAAACTCTTATTTACTTATATTTCTTAAAGCTATTATTATTATTGTTATTGTTATTAGCAGTCAGAAACTGAAAAATTTAATGTATACCCAGACAGGGCACATATTTATTACCGTCTGAGAATTTGGTTCCTCTTCTCCCCACTGGTGTTTTGGAGAATTCTGCATCATTCAAGAAGAAAAAAAATTTGTAATTTTATTCCATTGAATCTACTGATTATTTAACACTTTAAATATATAGGTAAAATATCATAAATTAAATCTAGCTGAACAAATCCTCCTATTTCTCATTGTAATCAGCATGTAAATTCTGAATACCAGTATGTCACTGTGAATAATTTTATCAGACTGTCTACAAAGCCAGAAAATTTCTAGAGAATTTTCAGTGATACAGGATTATAATTGCACAAAGGTAGGAAGGACATTAAAATGACCAATGTATCCAATATATATTCATTTCTTATATGTTAACCTTCAGGCATATACCATTTTTGCCAAGCCTCACTGGAGTTTTTCTATCAAGTCTAAAAAGAAAATGTTACTAGAATCATGTAATAAGTATCTTTAGAGCCAAAACAACTTTTGCAAAATCACGCAATGAGGAATCTACTCAAATGATACAATACTGTAATTTTTTTTTGAAGATTTTATTTATTTATTTGACAGAGAGAGAGAGATCACAGGTAGCCAGAGAGGCAGGCAGAGAGGGGGGAAGCAGGCTCCCTGCCGAGCAGAGAGCCGGATGCAGGGCTGGATCCCAGGACCCTGGGATCATGACCTGAGCGGAAGGCAGAGGCTTTAACCCAATGAGCCACCCAGGCGCTGCATGACATTAAAATTTTAAATAAAAATACTCACTGCATCAATTACACATTAAGGAATTTGTCCTAAGGGAATATGTCAATTATATAAATCAATTATATAAAGTGGTATGTAAAACAATGTTATTTACAGTGTTGTATATAGTATCAAAAATCTGGGAAAAGTCAAATTAATAATAGACAATTGTTACATAAATTACTGCACTCAGTGAATACTGAACATCCATTAGAAGTGATTTTATCCAATTTGCAGGAAAAAAACAGAATTTGCTCCTCTTTTTTTTGCAGTTATTGTTAAAAAAAGGTGAGAGAAAGGTGGGAATAATATTATTTGTTTTTGTTTGTGAAACTCTGAAAGGATCCACAAGAAAAATAAAACAGATTATGGCAGGGTGAGGTTTAGAGATAAGGTAGATGGAGGCCAGGATGGGAGACTTTTTGCTGCATATCTTCTTAATAGATAACTGCACACCTTGAGTTTTGAACCATGTGAATATAAAAATAGGTCTATAATGACAGAGAAAACATGAGTTCACTGCACTATATATTAATTGAAAGAGTAGGTGATAAATAAGTATGTAAAGATGAAATCCATGTTAAAAACGTGTTATAATTACACACATATAGATACATGTGGGGAGGCGGAGTGGGCCCTGGAAAGGCCTACTTCAAAAGGTTAGTAATTAACATAAAAGATACTTATTTTCTTCTTTATAATTTTCTATTTTTTCACTGAGTATGTACTATTTTCAGCATCAGAAATATATATATATATTTCTACTAACATAATATATATATATTTTATATTTTATATTTTATGTATGGTCCAATGTGGGGCTTGAACTCACAACCCTGAGATCAAAAGTTGCACATTCTATTGACTAAGCCAGCCAGGCACCCCAGAAATGTTTTTTATTCCCACAAGTTGCTAGTTCAACAAAAAACATTTATACTGCCATACAAAAAGTTCAATCTCTATAGTAGACTATTCTACTGCACGTAATTAATATTAATATCCAAGTACTGAAGTGGGCACAAATCATCAGTCTCCTATACACATTTAAGTATGCTTACCGGCAAAATAAATTAGACCAGATTACAACAAACAATAGAGAATATAGTAGAACAAGAGAAACAGCATGTTTTCTTTTCCAGAGCTGGTAATAGTAACAGCTTCTAATTATCAAGTGTTTACTTACATTGTGATATGATGCTAGGCCTCCTAGGCAGTAGGTGGTGGTGTCTCTACTTGAGATGATAAACAGGCTCAGAGAAATAAATTACTTTTTCTGTGACCACCTAACTGGCCAGGGACAGAGCTGTATTTTGATATCACTCTGTTAACCTGTGCTGTGAACTTTCCTGCCAGGTGGCCTCAGTGACTGCTCAGTTGGTGATTACTTAGGTCTGTTTGTAACTCATATTTGCTGAGTCCCTTTTAGGAATTTAAACTCCAAATGTTTTACTTATTATTTATGTGTGCCATCAATTTGTTAAAAAGAAAACCTTTACTAAGCACAGTATGCATTAACTATTAAGCTGTCATGAATAAAAAATTGGCAATACAGCTTTACTATAGATTTTTTTTTACTCAGCTATAAAATTACTATAGTTATTATGGAAAATGTAGAAGATACTAGTAAAAATACCAAGAAAAATTTACTAATTCTACAGTGAATGAGAATCAGTATTCTGGTTTTTTTTCCTATGTGATATTACAATATTTTTTTCATATGTTATTTAAATCTAAGTGTTATCCATTGTTGTTACAAGTGTTGATAAAAGTCATTTAAGAACTATGCAACATTCTATTATACAGATGCAGGACAGTTTACTTCACCAACTCCTTACTCCTGTTTAGGCTATTTCAATTTCTTGCCATTTTAAAAAGTGTTACAATGAATATCTTTGCATATGTGGTCTTTTTTTCTGATTACTAGGAAATTCTTTAGGATAAAAGGACCTACTAGTGATCCGAAGGGGCACGTGCACCCGAATGTTTATAGCAGCAATGTCTACAATAGCCAAACTATGGAAAGAACCTAGATGTCCATCAACAGACGAATGGATAAAGAAGATGTGGTATATATACACAATGGAATACTATGCAGCCATCAAAAGAAATGAAATCTTGCCATTTGCGACGACGTGGATGGAACTAGAGGGTATCATGCTTAGCGAAATAAGTCAATCGAAGAAAGACAACTATCATATGATCTCCCTGATATGAGGGAGAGGAGATGCAACATGGGGGGTTAAGGGGGTAGGAGAAGAGTAAATGAAACAAGATGGGATTGGGAGGGAGACAAACCATAAGTGACTCTTAATCTCACAAAACAAACTGAGGGTTAATGGGGGGAGGGGGTTGGGGGGGGTGGGATTATGGACATTGGGGAGGGTATGTGCTATGGTGAGTGCTGTGAAGTGTGTAAACCTGGCGATTCACAGACCTGTACCCCTGGGGATAAAAAGATATCATATGTTTAAAAAAAATAAAATTAAAAAAAAAAAAAAAAAAAAAAAAAGGACCTACTGACTTAATTCCAGAAAATGTATATAAATATCTTATGGCAATATTCTTTCCAAAATGACTGCATCAAAGTATGTTCCCATGAATGTTATAGAAGTGCCAGTTTTAGTCTTTCCCCTCAATAGTACTTCTCTCTTCCTAAGTCTTTCCTAACTAGACAGATATAAAATGAATTCTTGTTTTGATTTTCATTTTTTGTTTACTAAGAGTTTAATGTTTTTATGGACCATTTTTATTACTTACAGCCTGTTCCACTAATTTTCCCGAGGCTAATTCCTCTTGGAGTTTCTGGGCTTTCAGGGTTCGTTTTGCCTAACAAAAAAGGAAACATGAAATTTACTTTACAACATTCAAATGAACATTTAATTTTTATATACTTAAAATTAATAAATTTATTGTTTCCAGAAAGGTCAATAAACAAGGTCATCTCTTTGAGATTTCTTGTAACTCTAGATGTATAATTTCTAAATAACAGGATTTACAAACTCCTGTTCGAGTCAGGCATTAATATAAACTAAGCGAAAAAGCACTAGTGATTAAACTGCAAAGAACAGGCCCTATCCAAAAGGGGCAGCTGTCACCTGGCCCCAGATCACTGATGTTTGCCTGATAGGCCCAGGATTACCACATATTCCACTGTTCAAGAATAGATGAAATTTACATTATATAAATCCCGTGATTTTTAAATGTAAACTCTACGTAAGGAAAAAAAAGCAGCATTACTGTGGATTTGAAGGAATGGGGGAAAGCTGATAAAATCGTAACAAAAAAACCTGAAGTTGAATTAAAATAAAATTCAATTTTCTGATATGTGTTATCTTGTTCTCCTTTCACTTTTCTCAAACGCTATGTGAGACATCTGTAAAACAGGCCCAGACAAGATGCAGTGTGTGGGGCCGGGAAAGAGTTCATAACCTTAAAAATCCAAAAGCCCTAGATACTAATCCGTTCTCATGCTTCCAATATCTTCTGCAGCCTCAGTTAGGGAGTTAAATAAAAAATACAAGAATCAAGTAAGAAGAAACTGCTGCCACTACGGTTAGCACACTTTATTTTCACTCTTCTCTTCTATCAGACCTACTACTACTATAATAAAAACGCCACCATTTTTATATTGCTCGAACACTCAAAAACAGAGTCGCTTAATCAATGATATAGCAAAATGTACATTCTTTAAGGAGTGTGGGAAAGCAGGGAACTTTGCTCACCAGATCAACTTTGGCATATTCTTCCACAATTTTCATGTGTTCCTCTGGGTTGTAGCCATTCCACCGGTCCCTCTTCCCATCATAGTCAAACATCAGCTGAGGCTGGACATGTTCATCTGGAGCTATATTAGTACCTGTAAATTTTGCTCCAACTCGCCTAGGTCTCTGGGAAATAGAATAAAATCAAACCTTTCCCCAAGTTCCTGTAGCCTAGAGGAAAATTTCAGGAAACCTTTACAAAGCAAGCATAAACATACCATGGGAGTTTGTGGTCTGTTCAATTATAAGTTACTCTCCCAGCAGAAAATTATGATGGTGCTAAACTAATCTCACTCAAATTTTTATTTAACTTGTACCAAAATTTAGGTAACTTTAGAAAAATAGAATTAAGCTCTTTGATAGGAAAAAAGAGACTCTCTGACAAGTTTCTAGAATTCTCAAAGATGAACTTACCTCAAAGCAGTCTTTCTTTTTGTGTGTCATGGCCCCACAATTTTCACATGCCCCCTTGCGGTACTTAGTAGTTATGGAATTCTGTAAATGGATATAAAGAAAACCAAAATGTTTTATTTCTGAAGAAGTTAGAAATAATTTTGGTTCTCATTACTATATTGTCTAGTGAAGTGACTGACTCATTAAGAGTAAAACTACTTAAAGTCTCCATACTTTTATAAATGAGAAAGTTTAAGTATTTTAGCAACATAAAATGTAGAAAAGAAAACACAGAAACAAAAGTAGTATGTATTGTAAATTTTAATTCCAGGTAAAAGGTTCTATATTCTGATATAACTTGATTAAAGGTTCTTAAATTAAGTTCTTAAAATAAAATCTCCATTTTCATAAGGATATATATAAAAGTTGCTCACATACCTCTTTTACACCTCTCTTGTACCATTCTCCAGATGAGCTGTATTGCTTCTGTTTCTCTGGTTGTGGTCTCTGGTGCTTTAAAGTAGGTCTTTTTGACGGATCGATATACCATGGCACTGAAGAAATATACTGAGGTATATGAGGGTTGATGTCTCTGTAATTAAAAAAAATATATTTTTTAAGAATAAAGTTTGTGGAGGCGCCTAGGTGGTTCAGTGGGTTAAGCCTCTGCCATCGGCTCAGGTCATGATCTCAGGGTCTTGGGATCAAGCCTGCATCAGGCTCTCTGCTCAGCAGGGAGCCTACTTCCCTCTCTCTCTCTCTGCCTGCCTCTCTGCCTACTTGTGATCTCTCTGTCAAATAAATTTAAAAAAAAAGAAAAAAGGAATAAAGTTAAAAAAAAAAAAAGAATAAAGTTTGAGGGGTGCCTGGTGGTTCAGTCGTTAACCGACTGCCTTCGGCTCAGGTCATGATCCCAGGGTCTGGGATCAAGGCCTGCATTGGGCTCCCTGCTGGGTGGGAAGCCTGCTTCTCCCTCTCCCACTCCCCCTCCTTGTGTTCCCTCTCTCGCTGTGTCTCTCTCTCCATCAATTAAATAAAAATCTTTAAAGAAAAAAAAAAAAGTTTAAAAATAATTGGTATTACAATTACAAAGGTAGCCTATACAGATTGTAAAAAGAGAGATAAAAAGTGTAGTGCGGGGGCGGGAGGAGAATATGCTTGATATCTCTATAATATAGAAAACAAAACAAAACAAAACAAAAAAACCTGAAGATAAGGAATGTAATTTGTTTTAAAGATTTTATTTATTTATTTGACAGAGAGAGAAGTGACAAGTAGGCAGAGCAGTAGGCAGAGAGAGGGGAAAGCAGGCTCTCCGCTAAGCAGAGAGCCCGATGGAGGGTTCGATCCCAGGACCTTGAGATCATGACCTGAGCAGAAGGCGAGGCCTAACCCACTGAGCCACCCAGGTGCCCCAAGGAATGTAATTTATTTTAGAGTGAAAACATTTCCAATATAGCAACTAAGAGTAGTGATAGAACTGAAGTCAGGAAAGAGATAAGAAAAATAGGGATATATGTTAGTAGATAAAACTTATACAAGATCAAGAAGCTAGTTAATAATGCCTAGAGTTGATTAAAATAATCATGTAGACACATTATTTAGAGATGTGGAGCTATCAACCAGAAAAACTCAAAATAGAAAGATTTAAAAGTAGTCACTTTTGCAGAGTGGGACAGGGAGTGGGAAGACTTGAAAGGGATGACTGCTGTTCATTAGAAGTTCTTGAATGCATTTCTATTATTAAATCTTACATATACAAATCTGATAAAATAGTAAAAACTGTCAAAGCAAAACATGAGAAATTACTAAGTAAACATAAATTTGAATTTTTAATGAACAGATCATGCAAACAATGTACTTACTTTCCTTCTTCATCAACTTCTGCTGGAGCATTACCCAGTTTTCGCTGTTCTTCTAGCTCCTTCTTCTTTCTCCAGTCCTCTCTGGTCATCTTCTTTGGTTCCTCTAGACTCATTTCTTTGGACCCCGACAGGGGGGCCGCATTAACTGCATCTACAGCTGCAGCTGACATGGTTATCTGGACCCCTCTATGAAAAGAAATATATATATATTAGTATAAACTAGGCCCTCATGAGTTCATTAGTGAAATTATCAAAAGTACACCCTAATAACACATACTGCAGTCTCATTTATACATAGTATTTCATATGTTCTTAAAGTATCTGTGAGGGAAAGGTCTCTTTCCTTTCTACAAAAAGTCTCTATGTACTGTCTGCAGTTCCTTCCTCAACTCTAATTTACAAATGGAGAGAAGCATACACGTGTACTTTTCTTTTTTATTTAAAAAAAATTTATTTGGCAGAGAGAGAGACAGAGAGATCACAAGTAGGCAGAGAGGCAGGCAGAGAGAGGGGGGGAATCAGACTCCCTGCTGAGCAGAGAGCCCGATGCAGGGCTCGATCCCTGGATCCTGAGATCATGACCCGAGCCGAAGGCAGAGGCTTTAACCCACTGAGCCACCCAGGCATCCTGCATACACGTGTACTTAAAATTTCATAAGACTCTTTCTCTCATTAACACTCCTGAATCTCTCTATGTATGTCTCAGGCTTTTCTAGCATGTTAACCATACATGAGTAAACAGTGTCCTATTTTCCTTAAAGATGAAATGCCTGAAGAATTATCTATATCCATTCTCTATCTTCCCATCTTCTACTTCCTTCCACAGTCACTCTAATTTAGCTTCCCCCCCCCATCTCTCTGAAGAGTTAGCACGAAGTCATCAAGGATCAATGTGCTAAATCCACTAGATATTTTTCAGTTCTCTTCCTTCCCCTTTTTAAAATATTTTATTTTAAAGATTTTATTTATTTATTTTGGAGGGAGAGCATGAGCAGGGAAAAGGGCAGAGGGAGAAGCAGACTCTAGGGAGCCTGACATGGGGCTTTATCCCAGGACCCAGGGATCATGACCTGAGCCAAAAGCAGACACTTAACCAACTGAGCCACGCAGGTGACCCAAGATTTACTTATTTTAGAGGGAAAGAGAGCATGCATGTGGGTATGGGGGGGTGGGCAGAGGGAGAGATAGAGAAGCGGACTCCCTGCTGAGTGCGAAGCTGGACAGACTGTGGCTCAATCCCACCACCCTGAGATGACAACATCAGCTGAAATCAAGAGTTGGGTGCTCAACCAATGGAGCCACCCAGGTACCCCTGTTCCTTCCTTCTTGAAACATTCGTATCTCTTGGCTTAAGTAACACTATTATCTCTTGGTTTTTCTTGAATCTCTCCTGCTGCTCCTGTCTTCTTGACAAGTTCCTCTGTTTCTGCCTATTTAATTTTGGATTCCACAAGGCTAGTCTCTTTCATCACTCTGGACTCCATCAGCAGAAAGCTCATCCATTTCTAAGGCTTTAATAGGCACTATATACCACTGTTGGTTCTCCAACCTATTTCTCCTCTCTAGATCTTTTATCTGTGCTTCAGATACATATATCCCAACTGCTTACTTCACAGCATCTCCATTTAGAGCATCTTAGAGACACCTGAACTAAACAAATCTTAATTCAAATTCATGAGCGTCTCCATGGAATGGCATCTCCATTCACTGTTTCCTCTCTTAATGAAAAATACCACTCATACCTTTACATATATGTTCCAGCTAATCTCCATAAATATTTCATCACTATTGCTTTTTTGGCCTTCTGAATAGCATTCAGATTTATTTACTTCTATTCTCAATGCTAACATTTTAATATAAATTATTACTTTTCCCTCCTTATTGGTCTCCTGTCCTTCTTTCCAATCAGTTCTCCAAACTGCAGTGTTATTTTTTCAGAACATAAATTTGATTATGTCATATCCCAATACACAAGCCTAAAATCTCAATACGGGGCAAAGATAAATACAATGCCAGCCTCATACATCACTTTAAAGAGTTCCAGTAGTCATATTAAGATAGTAAAAAGCAGGCAAAATTACTTTACAATATTTTAACTTAATCCAATATAGCCAACATATTATTTTAACATGCAATGAACATAAGAAAAAATAAAGTAAATCTTTAAAATCTGATACAAATTTTACACGTATTCAGACAAGCCATATATCAAGTGCTCAGGAGCCCCAAGTAGCTAATAGCTGGGAAGTTAAACTCCAATAACATCTCATAGCTGTTACTCTAAAAACCATTAAAAAGACACAGTCCTGGTTTGGCTTGGCACCAGTATAGTAGTGTCGGAGGCCTAGGACGGTTCCCAATCCCCGTTCTCTCCTCGACCTGGAATTCATCACTTCTGTAAGGATGTGTCTAAGAAATAGGAGCCTTTGTCCTACTTCCCAGAGTTTTCCAGCTTCATCTCCTCCCGATCCCCAAATTCCCACATTTTCTTACCCAGTCGGGCCACAGGCCACCCCGAAATCACCCGACAAAAATGAAGTCAATCCGTCAATGTTTACTTCCTGCCTTTCAGTTCTCTCCCCGCAGCCACTGCGGTAGTTTCCGGGCGAGCGACACATGCGCACTAACATGGAGGCGGCCGGAGCGGGGGGCGGGGATGTCCTAGGCTCCCACGCGATGTTGTTATCGCGAGATCTCGAGTGCGTCTTTATTTACCTCGGGAAAGAGGAGGTTAGTTTGAGTAGATGCTTTTGTGTTCCCAGAGTTTGTACTGTTGTTTCTTTTAGACTCGGAGAGCCTTAGGATGTGTTTTTTTTTTTGTTGTTTTTTGTTTGTTTTTTTGAAGTACCGAGAACGGACAACAGCTTAAGGCTCTCTACGGAACTATGAAATGAATGGGGAACATCGTGACATATTAATTAAAAAAAAAAAACAGTTAAAACTAGCGTTAATTAGGCAGATACTGTGTAACACTTTGGAGACGTGGTGAGCAAAAAGAGTATTTCTTAGAAATTACATCATACAGAGTGAAACACTAAAATGATTTTTCAAGTAATTTAGTTGTAAAAAGTCTCTGTGAAAGGAATACCAGATGCTATGAGAACGTCAGGCACTATTTGGTAATTGTGACATTCTGCACCGAAGTGATCTCGCGTTTTATCATAGGAAAAGAAATAGTACAAAACAATTTCTATTTTGGGAGAACAGTATCTATGACACCCCAAGCCTCCTTTGAAAGTACATGTGTGGGGACACTTGGGTGGTCAGTTGATGAAGCTTTGCTTTTAGGTCGGTCATCATCCCACTTCCTGAGATCGAGTCCCCCACTGGGCTCCTTGCTCAGTGTGGAGCCTGCTTCTCCCTCTGCCTGCCACTCCTCTTGCTTGTGCCTGTGCCCGTTGTCTCTCTCTCTTTGACAAATAAACAAAAATAAAGCACAGGTATGGGGGCGCCTGGGTGGCTCATTCAGTTAAGTGTCTGCCTTCTGATCAGATCATGATCCCAGAGTCCTGGGATCAAGCCCAGTCTGGTAAGGGGCTCGCTGCTTAGCAAGAAGTCTGCTTCTCCCTCTCCCTCTGCCCCCCCGCCCCCCCCCCGCCTCCCGCCATGCTCATTCTTTCAGTCTTTCAACAATAAATAAAATCTTTATTTAAAAGTTCATGTATTAAGTAAGATAAAATACTGGAAAATAAGTAGTAATTTTCATAGAATTTCTTGTGTTTTTCTTCTTTGTGCTGTTGTCATTTAAAAAATTTTTTAAGATATCAGGTATCTTATTTATTTGTTGAGAAAGAGAGAGAGAGAGAGAGTGAGCAGGGGGAGGGCAGAGGGACGGGGAGAGAATCCTCAAGTAGACTTCCCACTTGATTGCAGGGTTTGACCCTAGCACCTGGAAATCATGACCTGAGTTGAAATCAAGACTGTGTCGCTTAGCAGACTGAGCCACCCAGGCACCCCAACATGTATTGCTTTTAAGAGTAAAAGCAAGGGTCCCCTGGGTGGCTCAATCAATTAAGTGTCTGCCTTCCCCTTCTGGAGTCCTGGAATGGAGCCCCATGTTAGGTTCCCTGCTCAGTGGGGAGTCAGATTCTCCCCATTCCTCTGCTCCTCCTCTCTCCGCCATCATGCTCTCTCTGCCATCATGCTCTCTCTCTCTCTCTCAAGTAAATATATATATATATATATAAAGTGAAAATAGCTCACATACTTGCCTCAATAAAAGCCTCTCATAATACAATATATGTTTTTTCTTATTAAAAATTTGCAGTGCCTAGAGCTCAGGAATGTAAATAACTAATTTTGATATTTACAGGGCAATAGGTGAAGGAACAGAGTCAGAGAATAGTTTGAAAGTGAGTAGTCTCTGAATCACCCACACTTTGTTTTCATCTCTTTAAACTATTTCTGAAATATGCTTGGAAGTGTTGAGGCCTGTTTTAAAACCTCAGTGGGTTAAAGCCTCTGCCTTCAGCTCAGGTCATGATCCCAGGGCCCTGAGTTCACATCGGGCTCTCTGCTCAGCAGGGAACCTGCTTCCCTTCCTCTCTCTCTGCCTGCCTCTCTGCCTGCTTGTGATCTCTGTCTTTCAAATAAATAAATAAAATAAAAAAATAAATTCTATTAAAAAAAAACCCACCAGGCGTAAGTCAGGGAACACATCTCACAGAGGAATCATATAATGTACTGGAAAAGAAGGAAATAGATTTGTAAGGCTGGGGTCCCCCATGGAGGATTTGGAGGAGAGCATAGGGAAGCAAGGGGTGAGTTTTAGATGGGTTGCTGTTTGTAAATCAGGATTAGAATAAACTGGGATTAATTAGCATCTAGGTGTTGTGATAAGTGGAGGGTGGTTACTAATTGGGTAATCTAGTAATAGTAGAGAGTAGTAAAGTGGGTCTGGGGCATCATTAGTGACAAAACAACAATCACTCAAAGAGGAGGTGGTTAAAGCATTTTTCAGTTTCTGTATGACCTTGGGAGACACACTGCTTACTGTTGTAAAGGGAAGACTTAACTGGGGGAGATAGAAATCTTGCACCCAAAGACCTTAGGATATAGAGACTCCCCACTTCGGAGCTATAGGTGCTGTACAGATATGGTTTCAAAGCGAACACTTTCATGTGCTGATGATGCAATATAGTTGAAATATTTAGAGGGAGATACAGAGAGAAAGCAAGGAGAGGAGTGGGAATAAAAGGAAAAGGACAGGGAAGGGGCAATAAAGGTGTGCATGGTTTTTTTGTCCTTTTTGCCCTCTTGAGTTAGGATCTTTTCTTCTTGATGCCTAGCCCAGTGTCTAGCATTTAAACGATAGTCAATAAATATGTATTGAATGAATTAATCATTCAACCAATTTTGGTTCTGAAATACCAGGGAAGAAAGGCAAATAAACTAACATATATTGAGAACTGCGTCTATGCCAGGTGTGGTGCTAAATCTTTTGTGAAATAATGTAGGCTCAACTGCTCTCTCTCAACTTCCCTACAAGTTAGAATGTATCTAGTGACCTGTGGGGAGTAGGGATGGGATGATACAGATCAGTTTTGGTCTTTTGATTTTATTCCTTTACCTTGTATTTGTTTAATCTATTTCCATTTACTACAGAAATAGAAAAAGGTCATTAACTTTTTCAAGCATTATTTCTCCCCCTATCTTGGAAATTGGAATTCCTTATCTATAATTTTATTATTCCCCAGATCTTTTCCTCGCCTTTGTGCACTCCGCCACCGGGCCTTTCCAGGCAGCTGTGATGAATGTATTGTTAAGATACAGAGGTTTAAAATAAAGTTAAGAGGTTTAAAATAAGTCCCATTAAATGACCTAGAGGCAAAGGTGTCAGCAGTTTCGGTCTTTTTCTTCCCAGCAAGCAAACTACAAACTTCCCGGGAAAGCTTTCCCGGAGGTCCGCGGGAGCCTGGGTTTCCGCCCCCCCCCCATGGGTTCTTCCCATTGGTTCTTCCTGGGAGCCTCCGCCCCACCCACGGTCCCGCCTCCTGGGAAGATGAACCAATAGGAGCGTGAGTTGTGGTTTAAACTCGGAGTCCGGGGGAACTCTCTGGAGGCCGAGTCTCGGATGAGTTTGGCTGTTGGTCCCGACGTGGGTGGACCGTGGGTTAGTGACTGGCTGGGCGCGCGGGTCCCGCGAGGAGGAAGGTGGGCTGGGGGCTGGAAGCCGGAGGGCCTGGAGGTCGGGGTCTGGGGCTTCCCGGGATCGTCTGCGTCGCCGAGCCGGGCTGAGCCACGGCCTCGTTCTGCGTGGGCAGTCCTCCATCTGATGAGTACCAGGACCTGTGCCAGCCCCAAACCGCCGAGTCTTCTGGAACTTAGAGCCTCCGGCGCAGGTTTCAAGAGTTAAGAGCTGGATTAAATGCCTGTTGGCTCAAGAACAGGCTAAGCTCGCTCCTTAGCTCTAGTTTTTGCGTGGACGTGCTCAGGGTAGAAAGTTTGGTCAGTGCTACACCTTCGCTTCTGTCTTCTTCCATAACCCCCGGGGTCTAATGTATGTTTCACACCCGCAGCTGGTCCAGAATGGCTACCCTGATCTTTGTTGATAAGGAAAATGGAGAACCAGGCACCCGTGTGGCTCCCAAGGACGGGCTGAAGCTGGGGTCGAGGCCTCGTAAGTAAACAGACTGCAACCCGAGTCCGGTATTGTCAATCAATTGTGGGCGTGTCCCGGAGCTGGGGAAGCATTCTGTGTACTTGACAGCTTGAGTTAGGTATTACCGAATACCACTATTGCAACGTGCTCCTGGGTCTCTTTTTCATGTTCAGCATCTCAGATAATTAAGGGGGTACAGAACCGAAGTACTGTTAGGCCTATGGCCATGCCACCGACAAAAGTGGAGGTTGAGTTTGGGGATGAGAATGAGGCCAGGTTGATTTTATACAGTCAGCCTTCAAGCTGCACCCGTGTTTATTGCCTGAATAATCTTATGGTAAGCCTTTTTCCTCAGCAGTCAAAGCTTTAGATGGGAGATCTCAGGTTTCAACACCACGGGTAGGCAAAATGTTTGATGCTCAAGCAGCCGTACCTAGAGTTGCCAGAAAGGCTTTGGGAACTGTCAACAGAGCCACAGAAAATTCAGTAAAGACTAGTGGACCTCTCAAACAGAAGCAGCCAACCTTCTCTGCCAAAAAGGTAAGTGTTGGCTACAAAGTCACTATTGAAACACTTTAGCGCTTTTGACTCTTCAGGTGACTATAGGCATCCTACCTTGCTTTCTCTCTTGTGAATGCAAGGAAATGTAGGCTACCCAATATAGATTAACAGGAGGGAAGCATGGGAAGCTTACTCTCTTTGTGGTCTTCCTCTGTGCCGCAAGATCAGAAGTCTCAGAAGCAGCTGGTGAATATTTATGCCTCACCTGTTCTTAACTAGTATGGAGAAGATTGATTGATAGTATCTCTGTATGGTCACAGAAAGGACTGAGAGGGAAGGTTCTTTGCCGGAGGTCATGGAGCTAATATAATAGCTTAGGAGTTACGATCCTCCTCCCAAAGGCCTCCTGGAGGAAGTACCAGGTACTCTGCTAGCTAGTTGTCCTTAGTGTGTGTGCACGAGCTAACAGTCTGTGCATCCCAGACTGAGGAGACTTTGCTGTGAAAGATGACTCAGCACATAGATTTACGCTTCATTTGCTAAAATAAATGGTTTTATTATGTATTAGGAAAAAAAACCCCTAGTACTTTATATTAAAATAAGACTTGAGGTGTGGTTTAGAACAAGATATCTTTTTAAAAAACTAAGTTGAGTAAGAGAAATGTTAAGTTCAAGTATTGGAAGGCTATGGCAACAATAATGAGAATGTGAACAGAACTGAAGTGTGGGAAACCCTGCTTTAAGGATTTCTGTAGGTATGCACATATGACATAAGGTTGGATCAGGAATGTGCAGGCTTCTGCTTTGGCCTACTATAGTACACTGCCTATCTGCCAATTTTAGATTAGGGAATTATCCAGGCTTCTAAACTGCTTAACTGTCTTTTGCTGAATCTTACTCAGTGTGTGTATTTCAACTTAATATTAACCAAGCCAATAATTAAGGGAGCATTGATGGGGAAACATAGATGGAAATCACACTTCCAAAACCCAAAAATGACTTCTAGGATTAGCTTCTGTGTGAGTGAGTCATGCTGTTTTCTCGGACAGGTTGAGTGACTGAGTTGATTAGCTCTGAATTAACTCTGCCTTCTTGGTGACTTATGCTGAGAGGTGTGGGTACTTAAATTTCACTTAACTCTTGAGCCATGCCACTAGAATTGCTGGCAGAATTGTGTTGGTATGTAATTATGAGAACTAAGGATTATGGTTTTTTTAGAAGTCAGCATGAGATTGAAAAACTGGTGAAGCAGTCACATGTCTTGAAGAAGACTAAAGATCTTTTGTCCCAATCAGTTGACAAGGCTTGCCTTTCACTAATTCATATTTTCTTGGATGGTTTTAGGTGACCGAGAAGACTGTCAAAGCAAAAAGCTCTGTTCCTGCCTCTGATGACACCTACCCAGAAATAGAAAAATTCTTTCCCTTCAATCCTTTAGGTGGTATTCTTTTGGTATTATAAAAATGCTTTAGTTTTGAGTTTCTCTTAGAATCCGATTCAGCTCTAATCTGATATGGATATGAATGTGAACTGTGACCCAAAACTGTAATAAGACTGTCTAAATCTGGGTTTCTTTCCACAAACGTACTTGTTGGCAGATTTATTTGTAAGGAACATCTTAGGTCAGAAGGGGAATTGGTACACAGATGTGGAGAACATTGTTCCTGACCTCAAAAACATAAGGGAGATAAGATGTGTTCACTAACATTGAACAGGTCTAAATGGGACTTTTTTTTGGCAAGCCTTTTAGAAAGTGAGTTTTATGTTAAGTTGAACAGTGTCTGAGAAAAATCCACATAGTCCATGATAGCGTGTGCATTTTTACTCCGTCAGCCTGCTAATGTATCCGAAGTATTTTCTGTTATAGAAGCACCTTTTCAAGCTTTAATTTACTCCCACCGGAGGAGAGGCTACTGTATCCAGGCTTTGGATGCAGTGTTTAACAAGACAGGCCCACGCTGATGGAGCCCATAATTTGGAGGGAAAGTCAAACACGAACAAATTCTCTCACTATAAGTGAGAAGGAGAAACCAGCCCATTAGGGGGAACTGAACCTCACCTGGAAGAGCAGGGAGGCTTTCTCTCAGGAAGTGCCATGATGTGGCCTTTTAAAGGGTAACAGGGGAGAGCTAGGTGAAGCAGGGAGGGGCCAGGCAAGAGCACCACACCAATGTGTGTGCAGAGATCCTGAGGTGGAGCAAAGGACTGGAGTGGTTCTGAGACAGAGGCAGAGGGAAGGATGACAGAGGTGAGACTGTGGGCAGGTCCTGCAGCGCCTTCTAGGTTTCTGAGCTGGCATTTTTGCCCTTTCATCCAAAGGGCATTTAGTCATTCTGTACATCCAGGTTGTCTCTGGTTTTATATAATGCATTTTATATAATACAATTCTGCAGTTTTCTTGAAATTGTATTGTTGTGAGTTTGTCAGGATAGCTGAGTCTCAGAGGGTATGTGATTAAGATTTGATAAAATGGAGTGCTTCCATGCTAATGATTACCATTCAGCCATTAAGGAAAATGAGGTAGATTTATGCATCTTGATCAGGAAGGAGGACTTCCATATGCTGTTTGAGGAAAGACATACGGCCAAGTTGTCCTCCAAAATAGCATAAATTACTGAATTCATGTGCAGTGGCTGAGGATGCCTGCTTCTCTAATCTCTAACAGCAGATGTTTTAAACCTCTTATCAAAAGGGCAATGGGTATCTTATTGTTTTAAATTGGGGAGCATGTATGTGTGGTGAGCATACTTGATTATTGACCTCCTATAGTTTGTTTTTTAATTTCCTGTTGGTATCTTTGTTTTCCTTTAATAATAGGTCTTCCTTTCCTTTTTCCTTTTCTGTAACAGCTTTTGTGGATAAAGGAAATTAACCCTAATATGTTGCAGACTTTTTCCCTCTGGAGTCTTTTGTCTGTTTATGGTTTCCTTTATAATTCAGTGTTTTTTGTTTTTTTAAAGATTTTATTTATTTGTGAGACACCGAGCACAAGCAGGGGGAGGGGGCAGAAGAAGAGGGAGAACCGGACTCTCTGCTGAGCAGGGACCCCGAAGTGGGGCTTGATTCTGGGACTCTGGGATCCTGACCTGAGTCAAAGGCAGAGGCTTCACCAACTGAGCTGCTTGAGTACCCCATATAATTAACTGGTTTTAAATTAAATAGTTCCATATCACTCAATTCCTTCTTAACTTCTGGGTTTTAGTCAGTCTTTAAAAGAGCAGGCTCATTCCTAGTATTTAGGCTTTAAAGAACTTTCACACTTCAGAAAACGATGGTTCTCCTTCCGTCTTTGTTCTTTTGAGGAAATGCTAAACCCCCCAAAAAGAGGAAAGAATATTCTATTTCTGTTACTGTCAAGAAAAATATGCTGTATTCTTTTTTAATTAAAAATTTTTTTTGAAGTAATCTCTCAGCCCAGTATAGGGCTCGAACTCAAGACCCTGAGGTCAAGAATATCATGCTCTACCAACTGAGGCAGGTGCCCCCCCAAAAATCTACTTTAATCCTAAGAAGTAAGGCACTTGGATTATAAGAAGGAGTGTGATTTAACCCAATAGTTCTTATTTTTGTTGTGGGATTTTCACAACTCTTAAAAGCTAATGAAGACTCCAGAGAACCTTTGTGTGTCGTTTATCAATTTTGATGCCTAATGCAGGATATTTAAATAAAAAAATGAATTCCTTAAAAAAAACAACCCATTACATTAATGTAAGTAACTTTTTTCTAAGACCTAAAAATAACTTTTTTAAAACAGAAGAATTGTGTAGTTTTATATTTTTGAAAACTTGCTTAATTTGGTTTAGCATAAAGCACTGGGTTGTCCTCTGATTTTGCATTCAATCTATTGTATCTCTTGTTTTGGTTGAAGTACATGAAAAAAATCTGGCCTCATACAGATACATAGTTAAGAAAGGGAAGAGCAGGGGCACCTGGGTGGCTCAGTGGGTTAAGCCTCTGCCTTCCGGCTCAGGTCGTGATCTCAGGGTCCTGAGTTGGAGCCCCTCATAGGGCTCTCTGCTCAGCGGGGAGCCTGCTTCCTCCTCCCTCTCTCTCTGCCTGCCTCTCTGCCTACTTGTAATCTTTCTCTGTCAAATAAGTAAAATCTTAAAAAAAAAAAAAAGGGGGGGGGAGAGCATTTCAATAGTCTTTTCAAATAAGTGTGGAGAGTTTTCTTTCCTACCAGACTAAAACCCAACAGTGGCAGTTTCCAAATGTAGCGTTGCAATGTGTAATCTGAAACCTTATCAGTGAACATTTTGTACTCTGACAATAAGTGCTAAAATACATTGGGCTGTTCTGCACTTTGAATGTATCTTTTATTTTTGCATTTATCACACATTGATCATTTAGAAATAATGATTCACTGGGAACTGTAGCTCATCCAAATGTTGAAGTGTGTCATTATGCAGTATCAAACACACATTCATTAATGCCACCACGGATCTCATCAGAAAAGTGTATTAGGAAGTTGGCAAGCTAATGACTGCGGATAAGTTTTCCAGAATTCTAGTTTTATCTTTTTTTCTTGGAATTGTGATCATTGGCAACGAATATCATGTTTCTTGAAGTGATAGAACTTTCATTCCTCTCAGAAAATGTGCTACAAATACCCAAGTCTGAGTAACCAGTTTGTCTTTCCATTGTTATTTCAACTAAATAGTGTTTCAGGAAAAAGGCCTCTAGTTTAGCTTGCAAACTGAATAATCATGCAAATCTTGTTTTCTTTGAGCTTACCTGGTACTTTGGTATGCAGCAGAGGTGCTTTATGGCGTACTTATTTCATCATACAGAATACTAAAAAGACAACTGTTCTTCAGGGTTGAGAGCTAATAAAATTAATACTTCTTACTGCAGATGGTAAAGTGAGATGTGAAGCTGGCAATTTTTTACTACAAGTGAATGATATTGAGGAGTAGTGACTATAAAATATAGTTTATTGCCACTGCCTTGATTTGTGCTAAGGCACAGCAGTTCCATCCATCATTGCTTTTGTACCATCGCTGCAAATGTCAACACAGCAGAAGAAGGTGTTAATGTTATTAAGCACAGAGTTTGACCTCATTGTTCCACTGAAAGTGTCTCAGACCCCCAAGGGGCCCCTGACCACTCTGAGAACCACTGCCTTGATAAAGTGCTTTGTCTTTGTGGCAGATTTTGAGAGTTTCGACCTGCCTGAAGAACACCAGATTGCACACCTCCCCTTGAATGGAGTGCCTCTCATGATCCTTGATGAGGAGAGAGAGCTTGAAAAGCTGTTACACCTGGGCCCCCCTTCACCTCTGAAGATACCCTCTCCACCATGGGAGTCTAGTAAGTGAACAAGTGCCCTTCTAGAAGGGCTGCGGATTATTTGTGTCATAATGCTTCCATTACTGTGGGGGCAGAATTGTGTAGAAGATTAGCCTATAAGTAATTTCTGTTTCAAACTTCAGAGATAAAGTTTCAGAATAATGAAAACTGCTTTCAGTTGGTATTGTTTTCAGTCCCAAATGCCCAGGTCAAATTAAGTCCTTCTGGAATCTGGACAGTTTAGATGCAGAAAATAAGAGTAAATTTAGGATACAGCTTCATAGCTTATAACTTGAAGTGTAATAAACTTGTTTGGAATGAGAATTCCAAGTTCTATCCAAAGCTAATCTAGGATCAAGACACCTGAGCACAATAGCACAGAACGGCAAAATCTTACTACAAAGGTGGGAGGCCTCTGTATTTTTTCTATTTGTTCTGATGGGATAGCGTATACTATTTTATAAATTACCATAGTGATATTGTTGGCTCTTGCTTGGGTCTCTCAGAGCAATGGAGTTTCAGGTATGTCTAAGATTTATTTCCTAATGAAGTTTAATTCTGCGGTTTTAGCCACATTTCAAGAATTGTGTGTGTGTGTGTGTGTGTGTGTGTGTGTGTCTGTGTCTAGCTGGGGTGGGGCTAGGGATTCATTAGACAAAGGGGAAAATAAGAATTTGTGAGTAAAATTGACAACCAATGTCTGTTGAGATGGACTAAAGCATTTGCAGATATTGAATAAGAAATTCCTGTTTTCTAGATCTGTTGCAGTCTCCAAGCGTTCTGTCGACCCTGGATGTTGAATTACCACCTGTTTGCTATGACTTAGATATTTAAATTACTTAGCATTTAATAGTTTGTATGTTTTGTATTAATAAAGCAACTCTTTAACAGACTCTTCCTAATCTTGCAGTTGGTATTCTTTGGAATTTGCTTAAAACGGTATGAAAATTATTGGAAGTGTTTGACAAGGAACTATAATCTGACAACAGAAGTATATCTCATTTGAAAACTTACCTTAAAACCCTTCGGTTTGTTTTAACAGCTTATTTTAGACACTACCACTGTTCTCCCTGAAACCTATACCCTCAATGTATACTTTACTGCCTTTCTGTGGCCATTAACTAGTGACAGTTATTAGATCTCTTAATTAGAAGAGCCACTTCTAGCTCATTAAATATCTATTGCTAAGCATTCTTTATTGCTGGTTCTATTTGGTTTCTAATGACTTTAATACTCACTATTTGGTAATCAGAATTTGAAAGGCTCTAAATCTTCTGAGAACTCTTCCTTCCTGGGATCTTCAATTAGGTTCTTTCAAGAGCGCAACAGATAATTTACGGTTAGTAATAACCACTCTTCACCTATAGGAAACTCTGTTTAGTTGCTTACACTGTTTTGGGACCTCTTTTAAGTATTTAATAAGCATTATTGTGTTTCAAGTTTATGACCCTATTTTTCAGATGAGAACTGTGAAGTGCAGAAACTCATTGATATGCCAGAGACATGAAGAGCTATCACTTTGACTCCCAAGTTGGAGATTGGGATCAAAATATCAGAGATTATAAATGGTTGCTCATGGATTTTCTTTTTTGAAGGGCTGGGATGGAGGATATTAAAAAAAAAAAATTGTGGCCACCATTTAAAATTCCAATGTATCACATACCTTTGGTTTTGGAGCTTCTCTTGGTAAAGGAGATCTGGCAATAGTTGACCCTTGTTTTGAATACTTGGATTGGCAGTGGAATGCTCGCTGCCTTTTAGGTGGGCTTTCTGTGCTATAGACCCTAAATGGAATAGCCCGAAGGGACAACTGAGGTGTCCTTCTACTGTCTCTTTTCGCTCCAGCTCCCTTCACTCCCTTTACTTGCCTGGGCCATGGAGTCCAACTGAATTGATCCTTACTTAATACCAGCCTATGTAGAAAGCTACTCTCCTGTAAGGTCTGTAGCATCTGTAGTCAGAATCTGAACCCTTTTCCATCGTTATCGCAATTGGTATTCTATGGAATTTGCTGGAAACTGAAAGCTAGCAGAAGTGTTTCACAGACTAGGGTCTGTAATCTGACAATCGTTTATCTTACTAAAAAACTTAGGGGCGCCTGTGTGGCTCAGTGAGTTAACTCTCTGCCTTCAGCTCAGGTCATGATCTCAGGATCCTGGGATCAAGCCCCACATCGGGCTCTCTGTTCAACAGGGAGCCTCCTTTCTCCCCCTCTGTCTCTGCCTGCTTCTCTGCCTACTTGTGATCTCTCTCTCTCTGTTAAATAAATAAAATCTTAAAAAAAAAAAAAACTTAAAACCCTTTGGTTTATTTTAATGGTTTATTTTATTTATTTTGAGAGAGAGAGAGAGAGAGAGAGTGTGTGTGTGCAAGAGAGAGTGTGAGTGGGGAAGGGCAGAAGGAGAGGGAAAGAGAGAATCTTAAGCATGTTCCGTGCCCAGCGCTGAGCCCGATGCAGCCTGATCTCATGACTCTGACCTGAAATCAAGAGTTGGACACTTAACCGACTTAGCTACTCAGGTACCCCTTAATGGTTTATTGTAGAAGCTGCCACTTATCCCTGAAACCTAAACTCCTCAATGTGTACTTTATTGCCTCCATTGTTCAGAAGCAAACAAGGAAGTGGCAAGATAGGCATGAAATACTAGGAACACATACACTGATCTCGATCTTAAAAAATTTTTTCTTCAAAATATAACTGAATCAGTCTGAACTTCTGTAATTAGTGGACTCCTAAAAGAGAAAATAGGACTATGAGGACACTTGGTTTTAAGGAAGAGTATTAGATCTGCCATCCTCAGATATAGAAGGGCCCTGTGAAAACAAAGTGTGATTGTGAGTGGTTTTCATACTCTGGGATAAATTTAGAAGCTTTGGAAAGGGGTCTCTTGTGGTAGAAGGAACAAAGGACTGAGAGCCTGGCAGCTAGTTAGTCCTTTACCAGCTAGTTAACTGTCCTTGGTGATCTCTCTTCATCTGCTGTTAATCCAAATACAAAGTGTTTGGGGTGTCTGGGTGGCTCAGTCTGTCCGACTTGATTTCCACTTTGGATTTGGGCTCGGGTCATGATCCAGGGTGTTTGGGATCTAACCCCACGTCAGTTTCCACACTCAGCACAGAGTCTACTTGTCCTTCTCCCTCCCCCTCTATTCCTCTCCCCTTGTTCTCCCAGGTGTGGACTCTCACTCTCTCTCAAATAAGTAAAATCTTAAAAGTGACTAATGTTGGTCTTGGCTTTGAGAACTTTAGACAGAAGCTTCTCCATTAATATAGGTAATTTTTATTCTGTGGGGATTGCTGCTATTTGTATACATTTTACTAAGTATCACGTGTTTGGCTTCATTATTTAAAGCTTACAAGAAGTCCTGTTTGCAATTCTAGTCTGTCCAAGGGATAATTCTCTAAGTTGATTGTTTTTGGGGTAGGCAGTCCCACCACACCGGACCATAAGGGTGCTCTGATATATGAAAAGTCCACCCATACCTAGCGTACGCCTCCATTGACATTTTTCGGGCTTTGAATTCTGATGAACCCTCAATAGGAACACGAAGCTTTTTAAATATGTTAATGTAAGTATTCTGTCAGACCAATTCTGAGCAATGGTACCAAGCCACAGAAGGGTCGGTACAACCGTTAAAATTCCCAAGTTGACTTTGTTTTTTCCATTAGTTTAACCAATCATGTACACAGGCCTCTCTGTACTAGGGACCAGGGCTGTGATGGTTAAGTGACATCTTGCCCCTGCTTTCGGGCCTGTTGTCCAGTGGGGGACACTACAGGAAATGCTGTCAGGATACAGGAAAATGAATTCAGGGGTGGGGAGAACCAGCTGCTGGGGAAGCACTTTCCAGCCCAGTTTAGGGTAGGGCAGAGGAGGCTTCCTGAGGAGAAACCATGGATGGACACTTGAAGGAAGAAAAGTGCTCTGACCTGAGGAAACAGCTTCTGCAAATGCCAGGAGGCAAGAGAACACAACTTGTCGAATGTTGAATGAAAACGAACTTCCCCATCCCCACTCCTGCCTTTATTTTTATTTTTTTCCTTTTTCTCCTTCAGGTTTGGGCAAGGTCTGTGGTTGGTAACAAGGAGTCTGGAGAGTTAAGCAGGGGCCACATGGCTTTGTAAACTCTGGCAAGGGGCTTAGCATCTGTCTTAGGGATGGGATGTTAGGGGCCATGGAAAGGTTTTAAGGAGGGGAGTGACAGGGTGAGGTTTGTATTTCAGAACCTCACTGTGGAGGCAGGGAGACTGCTCTGGAGTCTACCATAGCTGATGTTGATGAAATGACTTGAAGAGGTGACCATGGAGAATGGAATAAGGCTTCAGGAGGGATCCAGGAGTTGGACTTGGCAGGGCGGCAAATGGTGTGGCGATAGCACTGGGAAGAGTCAGTGATGCCCGGGAGCATCCCTCACAGGGGGCTCCCCAGTTGTGTTTACAAATGTGTTTTTTGCTGCATAGTTTATAATTGGAAAATATGATACAGATGCACACTGGAATTAAATATATTTATTAAAAAGGAGCTAGGGTGCCTGGGTGGCTCAGTTGGTTAAGCTACTGACTCTTGATTTTGGCTCAGGTCATGATCTCAGGGTCATGAGATCAAGCCCTGTGTCAGGCTCTGTGCTCAGCACAAAGTTGACTTGAGATGCTCCCCTCCCTTTATGCTTCCCCACCACTTGCTTGCTTGTTCTCTCTCTCTCTCTGAAATAAATCTTTTTTAAAAAAAAGGTATATATGTGGCCAAGGAAAGATAACCATGGGACTTTTTCGTTGTCAAAAGTGGGTTACAGAACAGGATCTAGGATCACTTTTATTTAAATACACATATGAGACAGAAAAGCATAGTGACAAGAAGTGAAAAATGAGATTGTGGCTCAGCAACGTAGTTCTTCTGTGACCTTGGGCATATCATTTAACCTCTCTGAACTTCTGTTTTTTCATTCGTGAGATCCTTGATAGAGTTTATCGTGAAAGGTTGTCAGGAAGAGTACGTGAGCTACTGCATGAACACAAAACCAGCTTGACTTGTAGTAAGCCTTTTAGTTTCAATTATGGTTAGGTTATTTGTGAGCATAAAAATATCCATAAAACCGTACATTCATGCCTTACTGAGGTTATCTTGTGTGTGCATATGGGAGACAGCTTAAACTTATAAAAACTTATATATTAAAAGGATTACACCATTTAAAGAAAGAGAAAATACTCCTCCCTCTGGAGGCTGGAGAGATTGTCTGAGGTCATATATATATATATTTTTAAAGATTTTATTTATAAGAAGAGCAAGGAGGGGGAGGAGCAGAGGGAGAGCAAGAAGCAGACTCCCTGCTCAGCAGGGAGCCCAACGTGGGGCTCAATCCTGTGGAGGCCAAGAAAAACAAGGCTGTACCCACCTTGAGTCTAGCCCTAACATCGCCCTCCCCTCCATAAAACTGAAGGAGGCTGAGGCTGAGGCAGAAGAAAATGGAAACAAAGTTAAACCTAAATCTCACTAACAAGAACACTTGATAGGAGAAATGTGACATTCCACCAGGAACCCCCCAATTGTCATGTTAGTGCCTCATCAGAGGGAGAAACGGCCTTGATTTGATAATAACCGGGCCTCCAATATCCTGACAGTCTTTTTTACCCTGATAGCCCTTTTGAACATCCCCTTTGTCCTTACCTACTGCTGAGCCAGCAGTCGTGGCCCAAATACCTACTGCCAAGTCCACCCCTACTCTGCCTTTAAAAACTCTGACTGTAATTCAGTTCGGGGTCCAAGTCCCTACTCCGCTGTGTTGGGTATATTTGGGCCCAAGCTTAAGCTTGTCAAATAAACCCTCGTGTGATTGCATCGGTGTTGGCTCCTTGGTGGTCTCTCAGACACGAAAACTTGGGCATAACAAATCCC